CGTCGCACCGCACGCCGCCGCCGCGAACGCCGCGACGGCCTCGGCGTTTGCGGCGCCGGGCCGCCGCCGCGACGCCCGCGGCGGGCCGGGCAACGCGAGTGGAAGCACGCGTCCCAGCGCCGGCGGAGCCCAGGGGGAGCAGACCTCAGACGCGTCCGCGAGCCGCGCGAGGTAGGCCCCCGCGCCGACGCTCGCCTCGAAGCGCGCCCACGCGTCGGGCCCCGCGACGGCCCAGGCCGCGACGGCGCGGCCGACGGCGCCGCCGACCCAGAGATCCGGCCGGCAGGCGACGCGGTCCAGGAGCGCCGCCGCGAGGTCGTCGCCGCGCCGCGCGGACCCGGAACGCGCCGCGGCCGCGGCCGCGTCCACGAGGCGGACGACGGCGCCGGCGACGGCGTCGCAGGACGGCAAGCGTACCGCCGCCGCGAGGCGCTCGAGGCAGCGCTCGAGGACGCGCACGCCGCCGACCCGAAAGAAGCCGTCGGCCTCGCCCGCGGCGAAGAGCGCCGATAGCAAGTCGAGCCGCGCCGCGACGGGCGCGGCGCCGCCGCCCTCGGCCGCGACGGCCGCGGGGTCCGCGAGGCCCGCGACGACGGGCAGCAGCGCCGCGGCGCCGCCGAGCTTGCTCAGGCCGTCCGCGGCGCACCGCCGCCGCCAGGGCGCCGCGCCGCCCGCGACCTCGGGCCGCCACGCGCCTCGGCTCGCCTCCCCGCCGTCGACGGCCGCGACGACGGCGCCCAGCGGGTCCTCGCCGCGGCGGAGCGCCGCGGCGGCGGCGGCGGCGACGAGCGCGTCGCTCCGCGCCTTGGTGGCGCGCGCGTCGGCGCTCGCGGGCGCGCGGCCGCCGCGCGGCGCGGTCCCGTCGCCGTCGCTCGCGGACCGGCACCGCGGCCGGTCGCGCTCCGCGGCGGCGTAGCCGGAGCGCGCGGCCGCGGCGACGTCGACGCCGCCGCGGCCGTCGACGCCGTCGAAGACGGCCTCGGGCGGCTTCGCGGTCGCCTTCGGTTTCGCGCGCAGCGAGAACGGCGACTTCGCGGCGCCGGCGGCCTCGGGCGCGGCGCCGCGGACCTGGGCGGCCTCGAGCGCCGCGAGGCGCGCGCCGCCGCAGGCCGCGTCGTCGCAGGCCGTCGACGCGCCGGGGTAGGCGAGCTCGGCGCCCCGCGCGGCGAGCGCGTCGCCCGCGGCGCGCGACGGCGCGGCCGACAGGAGCAGCAGCGACGCGAGGCAGCCCGAGAAGCCCGCGGCGCCGGCCTCGGCGACGGCGAGGGGCCCGTGCACGCGCGGCGCGCGCGGCGCGTCGGCCTCGGCGACGACGGCGCCCGAGATGGCCAGTTCGAGCGTCGCGCCGCCGGGTCCGTCGGCCGCCGGCGCCGCGGCGCCGGCAAAGAGCTTCGCCGGCGCGCCCCCGAAGAGGCGGTCGCGCTTCCGCGGCGCGTCATGTCCGCCGGCCTTCGTTCGCCGCGCCTCGGCGGCGCCGTCGACGAACCGCACGGCGACGTGGCGCCACGCGCGGGGCGGGACCGCGCCCGGCGGCGACGCCGCGGAGCAGCGGACGCGCTCGGTTTTCCTCGAGGCGGACGCGCTCCGCGCGCGCGCGTCGGGCGCGTCGCCGTCGTCGTCGTCGTCGTCGACGGCGGCGCTCACGGCGCCGTCGGCGCCGATGGCCACGCGGAGGCCGCCGCCCCGGCGGCCCGCGAGCGTGAGGACCGCGGCGCCGCCCCGCGGCGGCGGCTCCGCGAGCCGGACCCACGCGGACGCGTAGAACTCGCCCTCGAAGGGCCAGGCCTCGCCGCCGCCCAGGCGCACGGCGCCGCCGCGCTCCAGCGCGACCCAGCGCCGCGGCGCGCCGACGACGCAGGCCTCGCCGCCGAAGGCGTACGTCGCGTCGTCCGCCGCCGCGACGGCCGCCGTCGCGCCCCGCACCGCCGCGAGCCGCACGGGTCCCGGCGCCGCCGCCGACGCGCAGCGCAGCAGCCGCCGCAGCCGCGCCGCGTCCACCGACGCCGCCAGGAGCGCGCCGGCGATGTCCAGCGCCGCGCAGGCCGTCGGCGCCGAATCCCAGGCCTCGGCGGCGTCCAAGGCCGCGTCGAGGGCCGCGTCGCCGTCGCGGTGAGCGCGCGAGGCGCAGGCGTCGTGGAGCGACATTCTAGCTGGCTAGCGTCCGGACGTCCCCATCTCAGATCGACGCTCTCCGGCCAACATGTTCATCCTTGCCACACTGAGCTCGCCGGTGTTGCCCACAACACCGACCGGTACCAAACAGAGGCTGAGCTCGGTTTAGCATGGACAAGTTGCGAAGAAAGGCTGCTTATTCGGGTGGGAGGTGGGCTTTTGGTTGGCGAGGAAGTGGCGGGGCTCGGTGGTGAGGAGGGCTGGGCGAAGTGGTTGGCGAGGTTGAGTCATGGTCGATCACGCGTGCGTCGGCGCCGCGGGACTACAAGCGGACGAGCAAGTTGACGATGAGGGCGTGCACCCGATGGAGCACCACGTGGAAGGACTCCTCGACGACGGCGCGCGTGAAGTGCTCTTGGAAGAGCGCCGGGGCCTTTCGGCCGTGGCTCAGCGCCAACGCGACGAGCTCCTGGCCGCGATCGTACCACGGGGCGGCGCGCCAGAGGAGCTCGATGAACGCCTCGAAGAGGATGTCGAAGCGGGCGGCCGCGCGCTCTCGGCACGGCCGCAGAGCACCCGCGAGAAGCTCCTGGCCGTGGCTGAGGGCCGACGCGACGAGCTCCTGGCCGCGATCGTACCACGCGACGGCGCGGTAGAGCAGCCCCAGAAACTCCTCGAAGAGGAGATCGGAGCAGGCCGCCGCGCGCGCTCCGAGGCCGCGCACCACCGCTCCCGCGGACGGGGCCGTGAGGAGGTATTGGAGCGCGAGGAGCGCGACCAGCATCCCCACCCGGCCCCAGAAGGGCACCTGACCCTTCACCGCGGCGGCGCGAGGCTCCGGAGGTGGGAGCGCGGCCGCCTCCATGCGACTTCGTAGGTCCTGCACGCAGCAACCTTCGAAGACGCGCCGCGCCTTGTTGAACGACAGGCCGTCGTCGTCGGAGAGCACGAGATTCGTGTTCCTCGGCGAGTTCGCGCGCTGCTTCCACACGTCGTCGCTGACGGTGACGTGGCTATAGGTGAAGCCCTTGCCGTCCACGTCTCGGATCAGGATCAGCCGATCCGAACCTTCGAACCGCGCGAGGCTGCCCGGAAGCGGGGCTTCCATCCGGACCAGACTCGGCGCGAAGCGCGCGTCGTCGCCCAGGTCGAGCTGGATGACGCGGCCGCCGCGGCTCTTGTGCACCTCGGCGTCAATGGTGATCGGCCGGGCGTCTTGCCAGCCTCCCTTGTTGGGGAAGGTGAGCACGACCAGGTGCTGGGTCGATCCGGCAATGCGGGCAATGGTCATAGGAGACGCATTGCGCAGCACGGTCTCGCGCTTGATCTGGGTGAGGTACTCGGGAGCAATACAGGGAGACATGGTGGTGTCGTGTGGGCTGGGAGTACTAGCTGGTCGATGGTGTGCACGACGGTGTGTGCTTGGCTTTGCTATTCGACTGAGAGCGCGTTCGGAGAAGCTGCCCGCGCGGGAGATGAGGAACACAGGTATCCGCAACGGACGATGTTGGCGAGCACTTGCACTGCAAAGTGTGGCAAAATGGTGCTGCGCGCAGCCATTTGACAGGGCCATGACGCGTTGCGTCCTCGCAGCGACGCTCATCGCATCAATCACAGCACTCCGCCCGCACCCGATCCTCGGCACGGACGATGCGAAGCAGTTCCGCAGACAAGCGGGAAAGGCCTTCGCGCGGCTCATGCCGCAGGTCGTCGACGCCATGCTGGCGAATTCCACGGCGAAGGCCGACGACCTCGCAGCGGGCGACGCGCTGCTGCGCAAGATGAACCGCGGCGCGCAGACCGTCGGCGACATGGACGCGCCCGCGATTCGCGGCTACGTGCGCCGCGTCTACAACGACCGCGCGTTCCAGATCTGCGAGCTCTTCGGCGCCGCTCGACGACAGTCGAACCTCCCCTTCGCCCGCGGGCGCCGCGTCGCGACCCTCGGCGGCGGGCCGTGCTGCTGCCTCGCGGGCTACCGGGTCTTCGAGGACGTCGCGGAGCTCGGCGGCGGCGACGGCGCCGCGCCGCGCTTCTACGACGGCGCCGCGCCGCGCTTCTACGCGTTCGACTACGCGCCGACCTGGGCGCCCTGCGTCGCCGCGCTCGCCGCGGCGCTGGGCGAACCCGTCGCGTTCGACGCCTGCGACCTCGGCGCGCCGCTCGCGGCGCGGGAGAACGCCGCGCTGCGCGCCGTCGCGCCGACGCTCGACGTCGCGATCCTGTCGCGGACGCTCAGCGAGGTCGACCGGGCGCGGCGCGACCCCGCCTGGGCGCCCCTGCTGCTCGAGCTCTGGGCCGCGCTCCCGCGATCGGCGATCGTCCTCGTCAAGGACGAGGCCTACGTCGAGGCGGAGGCGCGACGGCTCCTCCCGGACGCCGAGACGTGGGCCGCCGACGGCGTCCTCGGCACCTTCTTCCGCAAAGCGCCGGGGATCTCGTAACGACGTCCGGACGGAGGCAGCCCCGACCCCCGGCTCCGGGGGCAGCGGTTGCGGGGCATCCAAACGCGATGGGCAGCCAATTGTGGCTGCTGCTCTGGGCCGCGGCGGCCGCGTTTTCGGCGGCGCGGCCCTGCGCGCCGGCGCCCGGCGCCGTGACGATCAACGGGCGCAAGGTCAAGGCCTGCGGCCGGTCCGCCTGCGGCGGCGGCCCGGCGTCGCGCTGCGGCTGCAACGCGACGGAGCCCTACGGCGGCGCGGCATCCGTCACCCTGGCGCTGCAGCACGCCAAGCCCCTGCCCCTGGCCAAGTTCGGCGGCTGCTACCCGCTCGCGCCGGCGGACTTCGCGCGGAGCGTCGCGCACCTCGGCGCGCGGCGGCTCCGGCGGTTTCTCGCGAAGTGCGCGCGCGGCGACGCGGTGCACGTGCTCGTCGTCGGCGGGTCCGTCGCCGTCGGCTACGCCGCCGACGGCCCGCCGTCGTCCGCGGCGCTCGTCCACTGGCTCGAGAAGACCTTCCCCCGGGCGAAGATCGAGCGCGCGTCCCTCGCGCAGTCCGGCACCGACAGCTTCTTCTTCGCGGCGCACCTCGAGCGGCTGAGCCGCAAGGCCGACCTGGTCATTATCGACTACCTGACCAACGACCTGGGCATCCTCGACGGCGACACGACGGCGCACACGATGCGCGCGGTCGTCGAGAAGATCTTGAGGGCCGCGCTCGCGCTGCCGCGCGCGCCCGCGGCGCTGCTCGTGGGCATCCTGCGCACCGTCGAGCTGACGACGGCGCGCAACTTCGAGTTCCAGGACGAGGTCTACCAGCCCCTCGCCGAGGCCTACGACGTCACCCTCGTGAGCTACCGCGACGCGATCTGGCCCGACTTCGGAACTCCGCCGCCGGCCGCGATCTACGAGACGCGCAAGGGCTCGCACCCGACCTGGTACATCCACCAGCTCATCGCCGACGCCATGGTCTACGCCTGCGCCCTCGTTCTGAACGACCTCGGCGACGCGGCCGAAGCGCCGCCGCCCGTCCCCGCGGCGCCCATCTTCCGCGACGAGGCCGTCGACGCGCTGTCGACGTGCCGCGAGCCGCTGACGCACCTCGTCGGCGACGGTCTGAGGGATGGCGTCGCCGGGGCAGCGCCGGCGCGCTGGGCCTGGTGGGACCTGCGGCCGACGAAGGAGGGCTGGCAGTACGTGTCCGCGGACGAGGATTTCGAAGCCGCGCTCCGCGAGGGCACCGGCAACGGCACGGCGCGGCGCCTCCAGCGCGGCAAGCGGTCGAGGCCGGCGACCAACGGCGCCGGGGCGCGCGCGGCGGCCAAGGCGCGCCAGGGCGCGCGCCAGCGCGCGCGCGCGCGGCCCAAGGCGGCCGCGAAGCCCGCGGCCGCCGCGCCGCGGCCGCACCCGGACGGCCACGCGCTCCACCTCGTGGACCCCCTGTCGTTCCGCATGAACTTCAGCGACACGCCGGGCCTCGTCGTCACCTACCTGCGGTCCTACGAGCACTTCGGGGCCGCGCTCGTCACCGTCGGCGACAACGCGGACGAGGTCCTCAAGCTCGTCCGCGCGCAGCACGCGTACCGCCACACGTGCGAGCGCCTCACGGGCCACGGCGCGAAGATCGACGATTTTCGGTATAGCCGCAAGTGCACGCAGCACCTCAGCGGCGAGCTCGCGGACCCCTGGGTCCTCGACGGGCACTGGAGCGACCAGTCGAGCCGAGGGCGGGAACAGGGTGATTCGAGTTCGCTTCAACGTGAGTGTTCCGCGCGCGCTCCGAGAGATGATCGCCCGTCCAAAAATGAGCCGAAACGAGTGGGAAATGACCGAGAGAGAAACCTCCAAAGTTTCGCACCCTTTGCTTCCCAGGTCGAGCCAGGCCTTCGTCATGCCGCTGGTGCACCCCTGGGTCGGCCTCCACGACAACTACCTCGTCTCCACGAAGAAGCACGCGCCCGTCGGCACGGGGCCCGTCTACGCGACGACGGACCTCGACCGGCCCCTCGCGCCGCCGGGCGAGGCCACGGTGACGCTGTCCTTCGCGGGCTGGCAGCACGGCGACCGGACGCGGTTCAAGCTCATGGAGCTGCGGAGCTGCTAACGGTGGTCGTGTTAAACGGGGGACGGGGCGTGGCGGGGAACGGGGGGGGGGGGGGGGGGGGGGGTC